CTCTCCCAGGTCACGGCGCCATTCCTCGGGAGCCCATTGGATATTGGATAGAGCCAATACTGCAGATCCTATCCAAGGTTGAACTACACGATGGTGACGACTCAGGGAGTGACGACGAGCCTGGTGATCCCGACCGCGAGGATGATGCAGGTGCGACCCCGCCCCCTGTTGGACCCAACCTTTTTGCTGACAAGAGGAAGCCCTCCCTCATAGAAGCGGGCCTTTTACGTGCTTACTTGGGAGGTGGACTTTGGAGCCCATCAAGGCTTGCGAAGTGTGGTTACAGGGAAACAGACACATGCTCTCGGTGTATGGCGGCATCATGTGATTTGTATCATATTGTGTACGAGTGTCCTGCACTGCATACACAACGTCAGCTACGCATGTCTCACATTCGCACGGAGGGATTCCCTAGGCAAATGCGTGACTCTATGTTATGGTCGACAGGACTCGTCTCTCGCTCATGCTTCCCACCCTTACCACCACGGGACAGCACTGGGCACTGGCACATACAATGCGGCGACCCGCAAGGTATCACAGGTAACGTATACACGGATGGTGCGTGTCAGCGTATGTGGTACTGGATTGAGGCCACACGTGCAGGCTGGGGTTTCTGTCAGTTGAGTGAACCGCCTCCAGGGGTAGATATCCTTGTTTTTGGGGCTCTCCCAGGCCCCATGCAGACCTCGCCCAGGGCCGAGCTTTACGCTTTCCTTCAGGCCCTCCAGGTCTGCCTCCCCCCCGTTTGTGTGCACGCCGACTTCAACGGCCTGGTTGACGGCCTTGCCCTTGGAGTCCGATGGCGCTGCTCGCCTCGGCGTTTAAATGCTGATCTCTGGGGGCGCATTTGGGCCAAGATTTCTGATCTGGGCGAGGTGGGGTCTGATGTGAGAGTTTCCCTAGTCAGAGGACACCAGCAGGGGCAGAGCACCGACGCCCGAGGCAACCGGTGGGCTGACCTTGCTGCGCGCAATGTCAGAGACCTCCACTCCATCCCCATAATACAGGTCAAAGCTATGAAGCTTGGCCACCAACACTACACTCGCGTCCTGCGATGGAGTACTACTGCCCTGGGACTTCTTTGGCGAACAGCGGGTCGACACTCGGCCCCGCATCAAATGTCGACGCCCTCGGCGTCCCTCGGCCCCTCTGGAGCCCAGGGGGGAATCGGTTCACCTGCGCCATGTTTTTACCCAGGTCCCCCATCGCAGCATTTGGAGATGCGATTTCTGTAGAAAGGGCTCGAAGCTGGAAAAGACCCGTCGTCGTCTCTCTGAGCTTGCCTGCCTTGCTCGTTTGCGTGCTGCCGCCGCCATCCATCGGCGCCCCTCCACTGTCGCCCCTCCTGGACACGCTGCGCGCGCCCAGGCTGACAATGAAGGGCAGATGCCGGCGAATGAGGGCAGCAGCTTCGGTGCTGCGGTGCGACCTCGCTCCCCCTCGGACTCGTTTCGATCGGTGCGCCCTCGGACGGAGCCCCCCACGCGTGGCCAGGTGTGTGACCAAGGGGAGGCGGATCCCCCCCCATCCGTCCTCGGGCCTGGGTAGCCCTTCCTTGCCTCGCCCTCGTAGCCCCTCCCCTGGCTTTGAAAGGCGCGTCAGGCAACGCGTGGGCTTCGAGCCCGTCGCTGCTGCCTGGGATGGAGCTGCGAGTGTCCAGGCCGAAGCCACTGCCAGGGTTTTTTCTTTCCCAGAGCGCTCGGGGCCCACCTTCCTCCCCGACAAGCGGAGGCGGATCGGCTCCAAGCGCCCAAGTCGGCCCTCGCTGGCCGACGCGACAGTACCAGCCGAGCCTATGCCAGGAGCGGGCCCCGTTCCTTCCACGGCCGCTCGCGGCCACCGACTCTGGGTTTCCTCGGGCCATGTTTGCCTGTGCGTTTCCTGTGGGGCTTTTACGACGGGCACGGCTGGTCACCTCCTAATTGATTGCCCATCGGGAAGCACGCGCCGTCTGTCAGAACGGGCGGTGCGCAACCGACGCCTGTTCATGCAAGGTTTTCATCCCGCGGATGAAGGAATGGAGGGCTCACGTCGAGTTCCCGCACCTCGTCCGCTTCTTGTCTCAGACCCTGAGACCCGCTGGGTCAGGCTCCACGGGAGCCCACCTTCTCACCCAGGCTGCGGGGCTTAACCCCCGTATCTTTGTCTGTGTGGCTGGTGCCCGAGATCCTCTTGGTGGGGTCCCAGCCTCCTCACAGGCCAGCCAGGCTGCCAGCAGCTTGGCGCCCTTGGTGGACGCTCGTGCACAGCGCGACGCTTCCCTCGGCAGTGCTGTATCCTCCTCCTCCTCCTCCTCCTCCTCCTCCTCATCACCCTCCTCCTGCTCCCTGTCCTCTGTCGATGTCTTTCCTCCTTGTCCTCCTCCTCCTCCTCCTGCTCCTTATCATGCCTCTGTCGATGTCTTTCCATCTAGGCCTCCCATATGGGGTCGGAGTAAATGGTGTCGGAGGATCGTGCCGCATCGCCGATGCATCGCCGACGCGGCTCGATGCGGAGCCCGATCTGCTCCACTCCGACTTCGCCGATGCACCGCCGACGTCGACGATGAATCGCTGGTGCCCTGGTGGTGCATCGCCGATGCATCGCCGATGCATCGCCGATGTATCGGCGATGCGGCTCGATCCTCCTCCAACCACATCTAGGAGGCCTCTATTCCACATCAAACGCGGTTCACATGCATGGCGCTGCGGCGCCCATCCGCGACGCCTTGGCCAGCGACGGTTGCGGGTCCGATGTCTGATGTCCGATGAGGTAGCGGGGCTCGCACAAGAGGGTGGGGCGAGGGTGGTGGCCGTCAAAGAAGGCATGGAATTTCTCCAAGCCAGTTTTGCGTTCCAAGAAGCCCGATGAATAGCCTCCGTTTCCTTCGGGGTGCCCCTCTGCTTTCGTAGCCTCGCCCCAACCCTCGGCGCGCCGCCAAGGGCGGGATCGGGGAGTAGGAACGTAGGGGGAGGAGGCAGGCGGGGAAGAGGTGGTGGTGCGATTTGGATCTTCTGGCGTATTGTTCGGCTGCTTGCCATGCCAGGAGGTTCGTTTGTTAGATTCCAGCTGTTCCACATGTTCAGCTGCCTGCAGCAAGTCTCGCCACCGTGCGAGCTCAGCACTCCTGGGTGGCGACTGTTCGAGGGGCGCACAAGGGGCTGTAACGTGCTACGCCTTGTGCCCCAGGCCCGAAAGAGCCTTACCATATGACGCACTCTTCCGCGTCGTGTCGTTGTGCTTCTCCTCGTTCTCGGCGTCGGCCTCGTCCAGTCTTCATGTTCCTTTCTCACTGCATTCCTCCTGCCCCCCCTCACCGCTTCCCCTCTAGGGCTCGAACTAAACGATGTTTTGGCGATTTCGTAGCCCGTGTCCGTTTTGATTTCGTTTCGCAGCAACGCCAGAACGAAGACAGAACGACGGACAACGAACACAAAGCGACAGCGAAACACACTGTTTAGCTCGAGCCCTCTTCTTCTTCTTCTTCTTCTTTCTCCTGCGCCATCCTCTGTGTGGCGACGGTCGGAGCAGCACTCAGAAGGCATCAACAGGTAACACCTCGGCTGTCATGCGGCTGTTTTGAGGTTCTGGGACGTCATTACAGGTGTCGGAGTGGGCGGACGAGGAAGATGAGGCGGCCCTCGAGTCGTTTTTGTTGGCTGTCTCGACGGAGGAGGAGAAGGGGTTTCTTCCTCCTCCTCCTCCTCCTCCTCCTCCTCCTCCTGCGCCTCTCAAGACGGGGTCCCCTCCTCGTCTGCCTCTTCCCCCTCCCCCGGGGGCCGGCTCTGCCACCCGCGCCGCTGCCTGACGGCCGTGGGGGCACTGGCGCGGGCCCCGGGGCGGCCGAGATTCTTCGCGAGAGGCCCCCGCCCCCGAGCTTCTCGAGGCTTGTGGAGGTCGGGGCCGCCCGGAGAGCCGGCGCTGCGGAAACGAGTACCCCAGATTTCGTAACAAAAGGGAGGGGGTCTGGACCCTCCAAGACAAGCCATTTCAGACCTCCCCCGTGGGAGAGCCCTCCCAAACATCGTCCCCAGACCCCCCAGGCCCTCCAAGCTAGCCTGGAAGAGACCCCCCCCCCGAAATGAGACCCCCCTCCCTTGATTACGAAGTCTGGAGTACAGCATCGCGAGAGGCCACCGCCGGATCCCTGGGCCCTATTTCTTTCACTCTGCGTCTTCGGGGGGCCTTCCCTGTCCTGTGATTGATTGGTGTCCTGTTTCGTACTCCAGCGTGAGTTCGACGCGGATTCGACCTGAATTCGACGTGGATTCGACACGGATTCGACACGGATGCCGCACGGACTCGACACGGAGTCGACACGGATTCGATGCGGATCGCGGCGCGACGGGACAGACAAGGTTCCCCGACGATGCACCACAAATCTCTCTGCGCCAGGTCTCGAGCCTGGCTGGGAAAGCTGCAGCGACGGAGGGCCCCTCCGGGCCGCCCGCCCCCGCGACTCCAGGGGCAACGATCTGGGGGGGGGGATAGGCGAAGCGGATGCATCGGCCCTCCATCGCCCACCGATCGCCGATGGGGGCCCAGTAGCCCCACCCCGCCAGTGAGGGTGCGCACGCACTGGCGGGGCCCCGTCGCCGATCTATCGACGATGTACAGTCAGGGCGCTGAAGAAGGAACCCTTCTCGTTGGGGAGGGGCTCGGTGTCCCTTGATTGTTTTGCGCTTTGGCTCGGGTTTTCCTGAGGCTTTCGATGGAACATCCAGGCTTGCCTTTTGGGATCAGGGGGCCTCGTTCCTGATGTAAGGTTCCTCAGGCCAACGCCCCGACCGTATCGCCGATCTCCAGGTCGATGCCTGTGCACTGTGCAGCAATTCGGGTGCCAGATCTTGCCGTGCGCTCGGCAGAAAAGATGAGGCGTGCCGGGGGTGCTATGCCGGCAACTTCTTGCGGGCATGATCCCGGGCGCTGAAAAAAAAAAAAAATCCAGGTCGATGCCTCCCCCCCATGCCAGTGCCCCCCTGTCGGTGCCCCCCGCGGCGGCGCCGCGCGACGCCCCTCGGATGTCGCGCGCCGCGGCCGCGCTGGCGGCCTGCCGCCAGCGCCGCGGAGCCGCGGCGGCGGCGGCGGCCCTGCAGCCTCCCCCGCCGCCCCCAGCGCCGGGCGCGGCGGTGGCGTCGGCGGCTCCTCCCCGGACCTCCGACGTCTTGATGCCCAAAGTAGCGTTCTGTTCATGTTTCTGTTTTTCGTTCTTGTTTTTGCTGCTGTTGCTGTTGCTGTTGCTGTTGTTGTTGTTGTTGTTGTTGTTGCTGCTGTTGTTGTTGTTGTTGTTGTTGTTGTTGAACTCTCATTCTTGAAGACAATTATGGTTGATCCCCCCCCACCGGTGCACATTGTTTTTTTCGATTGAAGTGCCCCCCCCCCCGGGGCTTGCACTTTGTTTTTTGTCAAGGAAAGTCTTCCTGCTCAAACTGGCCCCATGGCCCCCGGGTTACAACAACAACGGCTCCCGCCTGAGACTTCCTCACAATTTAGCCAGGACCCCCGCTCCCGCCCCAGACTTCCTCGCATTATATTCAAGAATCGCGCTCTCGCTTGGGACTTCCGTACGATTTATTTAGGAATCGCTCCTCCTGCGCTCTGGAGTCGCGCTCTCGCTGGAGACTTGCTTGCAATTAACTGAAGAATAGCGCCCTTGCGTTGGAATTTCTTGCAATTTACTCCAGCGCCGCGCTCCCGACACCCAGGCACCCAGGAGTCGCGCTCACGCTTAGGACTCCTTCGCAGATTACCTAGGAATCGGGATCTCGCTGCCCTTCGTGGCCCCGTTGCAGCCCTTCGTGGCCCCCTCGCTTTGTTTCGTGGCCCCGTTGCAGCCCCTCGTGGCCCCCTCGCTGCCCTTCGTGGCCCCGTTGCAGCCCTTCGTGGCCCCCTCGCTTTGTTTCGTGGCCCCGTTGCGGCCCTTCGTGGCCCCCTCGCTGCCCTTCGTGGCCCCGTTGCAGCCCTTCGTGGCCCCGTTGCAGCCCTTCGTGGCCCCCTCGCTGCCCTTCGTGGCCCCGTTGCAGCCCTTCGTGGCCCCCTCGCTTTGTTTCGTGGCCCCATATATGTATGCACTTCGTGGCCCCCGCTCGTTCGCGCCCGTGGTGGCCCCATATGCATGCCCTTCGTGGCCCCGCTGTCGCCCTTCGTGGCCCCCCTCGCTGCCTTTCGTGGCCCCCTCGCTGCCCTCAGTGGCCCCGTCCTTACCCTCCGCGGCCCACCATACGTATACCCTTCGTGGCCCCCGCTGGTTCGCGCCCGTTGTGGCCCCATACGCATTCCCTTCGTGGCCCCGCTGTCGCCGTTTGTGGCCCCATCATTGTCCTACGTGGCCCAGGTGCTACCCTCAGTGGCCCCATCGTTGCCTTCTTTGGCCCCGCATTATCTGCCCTTCGTGGCTCACGCTCGTTCACGCTCTTCGTGGCCCCATACGCATTCCCTTCGTGTCCCCGCTGCCGCCCTTCGTGGCCTACTTCGTGTCCTTCGTAGCCCTGCTGTCGTTCTCTCTCGCTCTCGCTTTCGCTCGTCGTCGTCGTCGTCGCCGTTGCCGTCGTTGCCGTCGTCGTCGACGTCGTCGTCGTTGTCGTCGTCGTCGTCGTGGTCGGTCCCCTGTCCGTCCTTCTTGGGGTCGAGTCGACGGTCCGCGGCCGCCCCGCCGATCAGCGCTGCCGCTGGCCAGGCCGACGGTCCGCGGCCGCCCCGCCGCTTGCCGGGGCCCGGCCTGCATGGAAGAAATGTATACCCCCCAAAAGGGGTTCGATCGAAGACGAAAAGTGCGGGTATCGAGGGTTTGGGAAATTCGCGTTATTCGACACTCGAGCAGATGAGGGCGAACAGTCTTAAAATTCTAGACGCTTCGCGTATCCCCACCAGCCCGTCCAGAAACGACGCCCAGGCGAGTAGAGGGTCGTCCTGAGGGGCTTTTCGGCGTCTTGGGTGCCTCGGGGGGGCCTCTGTGGGTCGTTCGGGGTCCTCTTTGGGGCCTCCTGGGGGCCTCTTGGGGCCTCTTGGGGCCATCTTGGGGCCTTTGGGGGCCTCCTGGGCGCTTCTTGGGGCCTCCTGGGCGCTTCTTGGGTGCCTCTGGGGGGTCTCTTGGGGCCTCTTGGGGGTCTCTTGGGGGCCTCCTGGGGGCCTCTTGGGGGGCCTCGGAGCCATCTTGGAGGAGATCGATCAACGAAGGGGGGTTCCCTAATTACAGTCCCCCCCTCAGGAGCCACGATCCTCGTGAGGGGTGTCGAATTTTAGCCCTCCCAGGGGTCGATCTTGGGCGCTCCAACGCGCCGCGGAACCCCCTGTCCAGGTCAGTGGGGAGGGGGTAGGGGGAGGGGTAAACCCTTCCCCGAAGGGGAAGAAGGAGGGTGGAAGAGGAAACGCTGGGGCTGCACCGGACGGCCCAGAGGGGCTCTGGGGGATTATTGTTTTGTTGTGTTGTTGTTGTTAGGTGTTGGTGCTGTGGTGGGTTGTTGTTGTGTTTTTTTTTTTTTTTTTTATTGTTGTTGGTGTGTTGTTGTTGTTGGTGTTGTTGGTGGTGGTTGTTGTTGTTGTTGTGTGTTGTGGTGCTGTGCTGCTGCTGCTGGTGTTGTTGTGGTGGTGTGTTGGTGTTTTGTTGTGTTGTTGTTGTGTTGCTGTTCTGTGCGTTGCTGTTCGCTGTTGCGGTTGAACATTATTTTATCTAAAAGCAATAATTATTGTTCGGGCCCCTGCCGTGCGCGCACCCCCCTGCGCCGCCTAGGCCGCAGCTACATTTTCATCATTTTCGTGAGGAAGCCTCAGAAAAGAGGGTGTGTACAGGATCCGGTTGTTTTGTTGTAATCCGCTTTCCCTTGCAAAAAACAATAGAAAATGACATTTCTTGTTCTAATATAATCAAATTTCAAGAATCCCTTGCAAAAAAAATAAGGTAAAGTGGACATTCGCGCGCGCAAGACGAAATCCTTCCAAAACCTTAGTGTTCGCAGCGATGTTAACATAAAAACATCAAAAAAACAATGGTTTTTCAACAAAAAATTGTCAAAATCTTATCCCGCGCGCTCCGGAACAACCATCGGGACAACCATCGACTAAACCATCGGGACAATCATCGGGACAGTCATCGGGACAACGATCGGGACAAGCACAACCATCAGGACAACCATCGGGACAATCATCGGGACAACGATCGGGACAACCACAAACCATCAGGAAAACCATCGGGACAACCATCGAGACAACCATCGGACAACCATATCCTCTCTCCTCTTGTGTATTCCCACATCCCTCAGGAATTTGCCCTAAAGATGTGATCAACTATCTTGTGAGTACGTATCATGTGTATCATGTGTATCATGTACCATATGCATCATATGCAACAGATGTTCTGTGGAAGGCTTAACAACTTCTGTGGGTTAACAAGGCTTAACAACTTCTGTGGGTGTACGAACGTAGGCTTAACAACTTCTGTGGGTGTGTACTCCACGCCAGTGTAGTAGCCACGGTCGTCCGCAGGCCACGAAGTGAAGTGTCCGAACGTCATAGGGCGGGAAGCTGGGTGTGGGTGGTGGCGAAGAGTCGTGTGGATATTTGGTAGAGCTTGCACTGCCCCCCCACAAAGTGGGGGTATTGGCTGGCGTCGCATGAAAACCCTGGCACTGGTGAGAACACTGAGCGTTCGGGTAAAGTGATTGTTGCTGTTGTGTTGTTGTTGAACATTATTTATTCTAAAGAATAATTATTGTTGGGCCCCCTGGTGCGGCCCCCCCTGCGCCGCCTAGGCCGCAGCTACATTTTCATCATTTTCGTGAGGAAGCCTCAGGTAAAACGATGTGATCAAGATCCGGTTGTTTTGTTGTAATCCGCTTTCCCTTGCAAAAAACACTATAAAATGACATTTCTTGTTCTAATATAATCAAATTTCAAGAATCCCTTGCAAAAAATAAGGTAAAGTGGACATTCGCGCGCGCAAGACGAAATCCTTCCAAAAGCTTAGTGTTCGCAGCGATTTTAACATAAAAACATCAAAAAACCAATGGTTTTTCAACAAAAAATCGTCAAAATCTCATCCCGCGCGCTCTTGCGGATTCGTAGGAAACCCAACACTTTTTAAACATTTCTGTCAAACGGGCTTTTGCGAGCAACTTTTTCGAACTTCTGCGACAACGGTTGCGCACCTGCCAGGGCCATCATCCCTGTCAAATAATACCATGCGGGACACATTCGTTTTTTCTTCGCGCGCGCACGCCGAAATCTCCAAAAACCATTGGGCTTCTTAAGAATTTTAGCACCGCGCATCATAAAATCACACGAATCGCACCGTAGGTCCTCGAAAAACACCTGCACGACTTTTCAAAATTTCTACCCGCGCGCGCTGTCCTAACAACTTCTGTGGGTGTGTACTCCACGCCAGTGTAGTAGCCACGGTCGTCCGCAGGCCACGAAGTGAAGTGTCCGAACGTCATAGGGCGGGAAGCTGGGTGTGGGTGGTGGCGAAGAGTCGTGTGGATATTTGGTAGAGCTTGCACTGCCCCCCCACAAAGTGGGGGTATTGGCTGGCGTCGCATGAAAACCCTGGCACTGGTGAGAACACTGAGCGTTCGGGTAAAGTGATTGTTGTTGTTGTTGTTGTTGTTGTTGTTGTTGTTGTTGTTGTTGTTGGAACAAACGGGGGTTGGGGCCCCAGGCCCCCCCCAGCCACCAGCAACCAGCAACAATCCCTTAGGGAGGCCCACCGAAGCTTGATTTCGGTGGATCTCCCCACGGGATTGTTGCTTTGGCTCCACAGGGCGCTCCCCCAGAGCTTCGTTTCGGCACACCCCTCTCGAGGATCGCGGCCCTGGCTTCGCAGGGACCCCCACCGAAGCTTCATTTCGGCAGATCCCTCTCGAGGATCGTGGCCCTGGCTCCACAGGGAGCTGGACCGACGCTTCATTTCGGCACAACCCTCTCGAGGATCTTGGCCCTGGCCCACAGGGAGCTCGTCCCAAGCTTCATTTCGGCACACCACTCCTGAGGATCTCGGCCCTGGCCCCACAAGGAGCTCCACCGAAGCTCCATTTCGGTACACCACTCTCGAGGATCGCGGCCCTGTCCCCACAGGGAGCTTCACCGAAGCTACATTTCGGAATACCTCTCTCGAGGATCGCGTCCCTGGTCCGACATGTAGCTCCACCGAAGCTTCATTTCGGCACACCCCTCTCGAGGATCATGGCCCTGGCGCCACAGGGAGCTCCTCCGAAGCTTCATTCTAGCACGCATCCATCGAGGATCGTGGCCCTGGACCCACAGGGAGCTGCACCGAAACCGAATTTCGGCACACCCCTCTCGAGGATCGTGGCCCTAGCCCCACAGGGAGCTCCACCGATGCTTCATTTCGGCACACCCCTCTCGAGGATCTCGGCCCTGGCCCCACAAGGAGCTCCACCGAAACGTCATTTCGGCACACCCCTATCGAGGATCGCGGCCATGGCTCCGCAGGGAGCTCCGCCGAAGCTTTATTTCTGCACACCCCTTTCGAGGATCGTGGCCCTGGCCCCACAGGGAGCTCCACCGAAGCTTCATTTCGGAACACACCTCTCGAGGATCGTGGCCCTGGCCCCACAGGGAGCTCCAGCGAAACAACATTTCGGCACACCCCTCTTGAGGATCGTGGCCCTGGCACCACAGGGAGTTCATCCGAAGTTTCATTTCGGCACGCCCCTCTCGAGGATCGACCCAAGGGCCCAGTGCCACCTTCCGTATGCGTCCAGGAAATGTATTTTGGCATTTTCACTCGCGCAGTGCAGCGTTTCGTGGCCCCATAGGGGGCTCCACCGAAGCCCCCAGTGGGACCGTCCGCATGCGTCCCGGAGGCCCAATTTGGCATTTTCACTCACTCAGTAGAGCGCTTCGTGGCCCCACAAGGAGCTCCACCGAAGCCCTCAGTGGGACCGTCCGCGTGCGGTACAGCGTTCCCCCCCGCCCAATGCAGCGCTTCGTGGTCCCATAGGGAGCTCCACCGAAGCAGATATTCACAATTCCGGTACCCACAACTGCATATGGTTGGGACCTTTGCCAGGATGTTTTTTTCCCCAAACAGCTTGCTGAACGGGGTGCTGTTGTGATAGAAGCTAACTCCGGCCGAGGGAAAGGGGAGCAGAGACATCCTCACACAAACCTGATGCTCCGGGCCGTTTCGCTTGAAACATCCTAACAACTCTCGTTTCTGAGTTGGCCGGGATTGGCCGTTTCGCCTGAGACATCCTTGAAAAGTTACGCTCCAGGACGCCGCGCGAGAGGTGGTCCGGGCCGTTTCGCTTGAGACATCCTCGAAACTCTGAGCCCCGAGGTGCCGTGCGAGCGGTGGTCCGGGCCGTTTCGCCTGAGACATCCTCGAAACTCTGACCTCGGAGATGCCTTGCGCGAGGTGGTCCGGCCCGTTTCGCTTGAGACATCCTCGAAACTCTGACTTCGGAGATGCCGCGCGAGAGGTGGTCCGGCCCGTTTCGCCTGAGACATCCTCGAACTCCTGAGCTCTGGGATTCCCTGCGCGAGGTGGTCCGGCCCGTCTCGCCTGAGACATCCTCGCAACTCTGAGCTCTGAGATGCCGTTCGCAAGGCGGTCCAGCCTGTTTCGCACAAGACATTCTCGCAACTCTGAGCTCCCAGATGCCGCGCAAGAGGTGGTCCAGCATGGGGGCCCAGAAGACCACATGTTACATATCCTCCCTGGGACCCTGGGAGCCCCAGGAGGCCCCAGAGAGCTCCAGGAGGCCGCAGGACGCCCAGGACAGGCCCCAGGGGTCCCCAGGAGATTCCCAGGAGGCTCCCAGGAGGCCCCAGGAGGCCCCCTATCAGAACGTGTCAAGTTAATACACAGCTGGTGTCGATTCGTTGATTGTTCCTGCTCTTGTGCCCCCCCCCTTCCATTTTGAGGGGCCCAAGCGGCCACAGGTTAGATTTCCCCCCTGGGAGCCCCAAGAGACTTCAGGAAGCCCCAGGTGGAGTTCAGGAGGCCACAGGAGGCCCAGGAGGAAGCCCCAACTCGGAGCTCTGAGACGCCGCGCTCGAGGTGGTCCGGCCCGTTTCGCCTGAGACTTCCTCGCAGCTCGTTTTGCCCGAGAAATCGTCGCAACTCTGGGGTCCGAGATGCCGCGCGCGAGGCGGTCCAGCCCGTTACGCTGGAGACATCCTCGCAACTCTAGGCTCCGAGATGCCGTTCGGGATGAAGAGGAGGTGGATGAGGAGGAGGAGGAGGAGGAGGAGGAGGAGGAGGAGGAGGAGGAGAAGGAGAAGGAGAAGGAGATGGAAGGGAGAAGGAGGAGGCGGATGATGTGCATGAGGGAGCAGGCAGGAGGAGGGGGAGGAGGAGGAGGAGGAGGAGGGAGAAGGAAGGGAGTTGCAGGAGAGGACCTAACGGGAAGCGAGTGTGACGTGGACTTGTCAGAACGTGTGCGAGAGGTTGTCCGGCCCGTTTCGTTTGAGACATCCTTCCAATACTGAGCTCCAAGATGTCGCTCGCGAGGTGGTCCGGCCCGTTTCGATTGAGCCATCCTCGCAATGCGAGGCTCGAAGATGTTGCGCGCGAGATGGTCTGGCCCGTTCTGCCTGAGACGTTTCGTAGCACAGGGGCTCCAATCACAACCTCTCTCATTCCTTCTCCCGCCTCCCTCTTCCCACTTCCCGCCTGGCTCCTCTTCCCTCCTCCCTCCTCCCGCCTCCCGCCTCCCGCTGCTGCGCCTCTGCCTCCGCCTCCCCGTCTCCGACGTCGTCGTTTCTGCCGCCTCAGCATCCGTCATGCGCGCACTGCCTTCCGCCCTCCCCAGACATCCGACGACACGATTTTTCTTTTGAGACGTGCGCCGCGTACCTCTCGATGTCATCCCCGGGGGAAGCATCACGTCATGCCCCCCCCCTCTTCCGCGCCCTCCCCCGTTTCCTCTTACAGTTGCTTCCCAGTTCACAGCATGGCGGTGGAGCCTCTCACAGTGCCGACCCGACAGCTTACTCGTCGACCAGGTTCGAGAGAGTACGACACTCTCTAGCGGTGGGTCTAAAAACCCTGTTTGGGGATACTGCGCTCTGGCTATAATGTTGTTTTTGTTTGTTTTGTTCCTTCTTTTCTTCACACTCCCAGTGCAGCATTTCATACAGCGTTTCGTGGCCCTATACGGAGCTCCACCGAAGCCCCCACTGGGACCGTCCGCGTGCGTCTCACACGCCCAATCTGGTATTTTCACCTGCCCAGTGCAGCGCTTCGTGGCCCCATAGGGAGCTCCACGGAAGCCCCCAGTGGGACCGCCCGCGTGCGTCCCACACTCCAAATTTGGCATTTTCATCCGCCCAGTACATCGTTTCGTGGCCTCACAGGGAGCGCCACAAGAGCACCCATTGGGACCTCCCACGCGCCCAACTTGGCATTTTCACCCACCCAGTACAGCGTTTCGTGGCCCCATAAGGAGCTTCACCGAAGGCCCCAGTGGGACCGTCTGCGTGCGTCCCACACACCCAATTTGGCATTTTCAGATATCCAGTAGATCGTTTCGTGGCCCCATCGGGAGCTCCACCGAAGGGAACATCACCGAAGAGGATATTCACAATTGCGGTGCCCACAGCTGCATATGGTTGGGTCTTTCGCCTGGATAATTTCAACAAGCGCCCTCCACGGATGTGTTAATCACCAGCTGACACTGCCCGAGTCGCACGTCTCCCCGATTGGAATTCGATTCGGTAGCTCATGTTGCCAATGAAGTCTCGGGCGAAACGCCCGGCCCGCCTTCCCGATTGGCCTCGGGGTGCGACAGTGAGGAGTAATTGTCGGGCATCCGCACCGGAGGAGGAGGAGGGGGAGGAGGAGGAGGGGGAGGAGGAGGAGGAGGAGGAGGAGGAGGAGGAGGAGGAGGAGGAGAAGGAGGAGGAGGGGAGGGAGGAGGGAGGAGGAGGAGGGGGGGGGGGCATCCGCACCACCAGTTGTGACCACATCAGCACCTAGGAGGTCCGGGTGTCCGAAGCAGCGGCCCGTGCGCGGGTCGCTGGCGGAGCTGGAGCGCCTGGCCCGGCAGGCGTCCGAGGGCGCGCGGCCCGCGGGGAGCGAGCTGGCGCGCGCCGCGGCGGCGCTGACCCAGGAGCCGAGGAGAAGGAATAGGAGGAGGAGTAGTAGTAATAGTAGTAGTAGTAGTAGTAGTAGTAGTAGTAGTAGTAGTAGTAGTAGTAGTAGTAGTAGTAGTAGTAGTAGTAGTAGTAGTAGTAGTAGTAGTAGTAGTAGTAGGAGGAGGAGGAGGAGGAGGAGGAGGAGGAGGAGGAGGAGGAGGGAGGAGGAGAGGAGGAATAGGAGGAGGAGGAGTAGGAGGAGGAGGAGGAGGAGGAGAAGGAGGAGGAGGAGGAAGAGGAGGAATACTAATAATACGAAGAAGAATGATAATCATACTGTAGGCGGCGGCGGCGGCGGCGGGGTGCGGTCGAGCCTAAGCCGAAAGAGCACCCAACAAGAGCACGATACCCTCCGCCAGCCAAAACGCACAGGGCATCCAAGGGTGCCTTCCCGATTGTGGACGCAAGCATCCCAACAGGCACGAAAAACAAGGGGGTATCCCCCCCCCCGAGCCGACCTTAGGATCTTATCCTTCGGTCCGACGGTATGGATTGATGGCGGGCGAGGGGGGAAGGGGGGGGGAAAAGGAAAAGGCCTTCAGAAGGCGGCGGGAACTCTCGAAAACCCTCGCGTCTTCTGAGAAGTTGTCCGTGTCTTCGGGAAAGATTCAGAAATCTTTTCAGGAGGCTGGGGGACTTTTTGAGCCTTTTGAGAAGGCCCGCCCTTTTTCACTTCCCCCCGTCGATCGCCGCCGATGGGAGGGAAGACAACGGGGGCCATGATCGAAAAGTCGCGGTATCTTTGTCGATGCCGATCTTGGTGATGGTCCGCGTCGGCCATCGCCGCTTCGATGGGATGATCCACGACGCGGTGCTGACCAAGATCGACGGTGACCGAAATAGGGGACCACATGCGAACCCTACCCCTACCCCCCAGGATTTCTGATGGGGAGGGTGGGGTTCACTTCGCTCGGCCCCCTGCGAGATCGACGCGACGTTGCCGCGTCCAGTCGTGGGCATGGCCCTGCCCCCCCTCCAGCATGGGCCGAGGTCGGGGCACCGCCCAAGACGCGTGCGCGCTGCGTGCGCGCCAGCCCCGCCAAGGGCGGCACGCAGCCTCAGAAGCCTTCGGCTGTGCGCGCAGCCAGCCGCCGCCAGTGCCGAGCGCTCGGCCGCCGTGCGGCCGCCGCCAGCAGCAGCAGCAGCAGGAGGAGGGGGAAGGAGGAGGAGGAGGCTGCCTGCGCGGGCCGCCGCGCGCCGGGCGCGCGCCTGCCGAGCCCCGCGAGCCGCCGCCGACGGCGCTGGAGCCGCGCGCCGCCGACGCCGTCGGCGACGCCGACGACGCCGTCGACGACGCCGACGACGGCGACGCCGCCGCCGATGCCGATCGCTCGCGCGCCCGTCGGCCGTTTGCGTGTTCGTTGCCTCCCGCAGGAGCTGCGCACGGAGCCGGCCGCCTTCCGGTCTGCGGACATGCTGCAGATCGTGGGCGCCTGCTGCAGGGCGTCCCACCGGCATCCCCCGCTGATGGAGGCCGCGGCGGCGCACGTCCTGAGAGGCATGCAGGCGTACCCCCTCTTCGAGGGCGACGGGATCTCATGCTCGCGTCGTTACAAGAGCACGACGGGAGGTTTTCGGCCTTGGTCGGCCTCCGAGGGCCCTTTACCGTGCGTCGGGGTCGTGAAGAAAAGGGTCAGGATGACAAACCCGCCTTGGAGAACGCATCGAGACCTTTGGGGGGTCGGCGTCACGAGGAAAACATGACGTCCGGGTCTTGGGCCTTGGTATCCTGGCCTCTCGAGTTTTTCGAGTCGGGCGTTTTCGCGTAATTTCGAGCCCCAGGGCCCTCGCATGCCGATCTGGCTCGAGAACTGGTGCATGGAGACGGGATCCTGGACTCCCGTTGTGATGTTTCACGCCATTGCAATTTCTACGCAGCGTCGGATCTCAGGGTGTGCATATCCACCCCCTCGTGGGCCCAGGGGCGGTGTGCATACATCCCCGGCCATGCCAGGATGGCGTGTGCACCGTTGCCTGGACCTGGGGTGGGCCAGGCCTGAGGCAGTGGCGGGTTTCGATGGTTTTGCGATGGAAGGCGTGACCTTCTCACACCAGAAATGAATGTACGTCCTGTGGTCTCAGGGGTGGGGTTCTTGTGGAAGGTTTCTTGTGGACTGGCCTCTGCTGTATGGACAGATCCCGCCGCCCTACCTTTGCCCTCTGCAACATCACGAACATGTTCGCCCGGCTCGAGCACCACCACCAGCAGCTCTTCGCCTCGGTGGCGTCGTTCCTGGCGGAGCCGTCGAGGACCGCCCAGCTCTCTCCCGTCGACATCGCCTGCCTCGTCTTCGCCTACGCGCACTGCGGGCACCAGGCGGGTGCGCTGCTGGAGGCGTGCGCGGAGCGCCTGAAGGCCTGCCACATGGAGATCGTGATGAGCGTGTTTTCCACCACCACCACCATAAGTTGGAGGGGGGGGTCCTCCTCCTCCTCCACCTCCTCCTCCCTCCTCCTCCTCCTCCTCCTCCTCCTCCCCCTTCGCCCCATCCAACTTATGGTGGTGGTGGTGGAAAACGCGCTCATCAGATCGGGGGGCCGAACTGCGCCACCATCCTGAATTCCTACGCTCGGCTCAGCGAGTGCAACCCAGAGCTCTTCAAGCTGCTTGCCGTGTCGATCATACAGACGCGGCCAGAGAGCTTCGAGGTGCACCACCTGAGCATCACCATGAACGCGTTCGCGAGGTGCCAGGTTCGGAAGCCCCAGCTCTTCAACCTGCTCGGCGGCTTCCTGCAGAGGCGTGTGGAGGAGCTCAGCCCGCAGAACGTGTCCAACGTGGCCCACGCGTTCGCGAAGCTGGAGTGCTACAACCACGACCTCTTCGCTGCGCTTCAGGGCCAGGTGCTGTCTGGAACCCTGGGGGCGTACAAGAACTTCGAACTGGCGGTCCTGACGCACAGCATGGCCAAACTGGGCGCCGGAGGACGGAAGCTGTATGGCGCCCTCTTCGAGGAGTGCGCGCGCCGCGCGGAGTGGAGCCCGCGGGCCGTGGCCCAGATACTGGATGCAATGCGCCGCAGGCAGGCCTACTTCAACGAGGCCCTCGCGCTGCTGCTCCTGCGCCAGTTCGTGGAGGGCATGCGCGACTACCCGGTGCATCCGCTGACTCAGACGGCGTGGTGCCTGGTGGAGCTGAACGTGCTGGACACTTCGAGCGGCGAACGTATCCGCATCCGCGCCCCCGCTGTTTGGATTCCGGGGCGTGATCCCGCGGATACGCGGTCGCACGGATCGGTTCCGCGCTGGGTATCCGCGAGAAAACGCCCCGTATTTGCGGGGTCGCGGCCCAGGGGCCCAGCCCGCGAGAATGTGAGGACGACGACGAGGACGACGACGACGACGACGGGGACGACGACGGGGACGACGACGACGACGGCGACGACGGGGACGACGAGGTGGAGGAGGAGGAGGACGACGACGACGAGGACATGGCCGACCGCCTGCAGCCCCTGCTGCCAGAGGAGGCGGCAGCCGCTGGAGGGGCGGAGGTCCCCGAAGGCGCGGGCTCTGCCGCTGCGCGGCAGGTCATGCGCGAGGTCTTCGAGCGCATGGAGAGCCTGAGCGGCGCCAGGCTCGGGGGAGGGGGGGCACCCTCAGGAGCCGGCCTCCCAGAGGAGGAGGAGGAGGAGGAGGAGGAGGAGGAGGAGGAGGAGGAGGAGGAGGAGGAGGAGGAGGAGTGACGAAGGGTTGGGAGGAGGAGGATGATGATGAAGGCCTCCCAGATGTGGTCGAAGCTGTTTGGGTCGGAGGGCCGCGTCGTGTCGTCGATGCATCGGCGATGAGGCTCTATGTGGAGCCCGATTTTCTCGACGCCGACGTTGCCGATCCATCGCCGACGTCGCCGATTGATCGCCAGTGCATCGGCGATGCGTCGTCGATGCGCCGCGATCCTCCGATCCCACCTGCTCCGACCCCATCTGGCAGGCCTTCACCAGGGGGGGGGGGATCGGCTGGAGACAGTTTTTTCGCCGTGTTCGGCCTCCAAGGCCCTCGCTGTGGCCTGGGATCATCGGCTCGGGAGGAGAAACCTGGCCAGGGGAAGGGGTCTGGATTCGTGGGAACCCCGTACTGACAGCATGAAGGCGTCGGACGTCTGGGAGACCAGTTTCGAGGCTTGAGGTTCCGCGTCGGTGCTTGGCGGTTTTCTGCCCTCATTTGTGCTCTCTAGCAGCTTCGCCTCGCCGGGAGAGCCCTTCGGGGGGGTGCCCGGGTCACCCCGAACGCCCGCCAGAGAGCCGAGGCTTGAATGCACGAATGCCAGGACGAGGCGGTCGAGGGAGGAGGAGGACGAGGAGGAGGAGGAGAAAGAGGAGGAGGAGGAACAGGAGGAGGATGAGGAGGAGGAGGAGGGAGAGGAGGATGAAAAAGGGGGCGGCGGGGAGGGGGGGGGGAGGGGGAAAAAGGAGGAGGACGAGGAGGAGGAGGACGAGGACGAGAACATCGACCCCCAATCGCCCATGCATCGCCGATAAGGGGCCCCGCAGCCCACCCCATCCGGGAGCGCGCGGGTGCGCCGTCGGGGGCCCGTCGCCGATCTATCGATGATGCATCGCCGATGCTCACCACCCACCAAACCACCCCAACCCAACCCGAAGGGTCAGATTTACCCTCGATTTCTAGTGGGGGGGGGTCCGGGAACATCGAAAAAACACGTATGGAGCCCATACCCCCCCCAACCCGAAATTCGGGTCTTCGGGTTGGGTTGGGGTGGTCTGGTAGGTAGTCAGATGCTGGGCCGATGTTTCCCCCCACCTGTGCGGGTTCCCCGCCGCGGCGCCGTCTCTCGCCAGGAGCAGATGGCGCGCGGAGGAGCTCGCCCCCCCGCCATCCTTGTGGCCGATGGCCGTCGCGAGACCGGCCCTGCGGCGATCCCTCCAGGGGCACGGGAGAAGCTCTGGCGCGGGGTTGCCCGAGGGGTCTCCGCAGCGTTCGGCCAGTCCGCATCTGCGTCACGAGGGCTGGCGCTTTTGAGACCATCTCGCTGTCTTTCTATCCGAGCCACACGACGCGATATCTTGGCCAAGCCACGAAGCAACCTGAAGCGGGGCATCCTGATCTTCGTCTTCCGTATGCGCTCGTGAACCTCGGTGTACACGAGGCGTGATCCCGCCCGACACTCCAAACCCAGGATGCTCAGCTTGTTAACAGCACAGAAGCCATGCTGGGCCAACCGCTCGGCGATGAACCTGGCAATGGTTTCGGTCGAGCCGAGGATCTTGGCCTTGTCCTGGGCGATGGGCAGCTGGAGCTCATTCAAGACCACTGCGAGGCGGTCTGTGGCCGCAGCAGCATGCACGATGATATCCTCGATAGAGGAGGAGGAGGACGAGGAGGAGGCAGCATATTCGATATTTCTGCTTATGTTTCGTACAGTTCTTCCTGCGCGTCATGCCACTGATGGGGCATTTGGAGAAACATGAGCGCTTCCAATCAATTTTCGACCTTGCCCCACCCTCCTGCGATTCAATTGCATTTGACGTTTTCGTGGTTTGCGTCGGAAAGAACAAAGGGCAATAGAGGCGTCGAGTAAGGAGGTGCCAAGGAGGAATCTGATACTTCTTGGAATAAGCCATCCTGGGATAGTTTCGGCCGTTTTCGCATGTGTGATTGCACGGTTTTGAGCTTCGCGTTCTTCCGCCTCTTGAGCATGTGTTCGTCGCGCCCTGGCCCCACGCGGGAGCTCTCTTGAGACTTTCCTGAAGCAGTTTTTTGGATTCGTGGGAAACATAAGAAGGGGACGCACAGGAATAACAGCGGACATGAAAAGTCGAGAAGCCCATCGAAAGACAATACCCAGACGATTTCCACGATCACAACAGCGGGAAATAATGCCGAGACACAACAACACACGAGAAACCGTCGTGGCCCAAGAGGACAATAGAGGAGGCGCATAAGAGGAGGAGGAGGGGGAGGACGGGTGGGAGGAGGACAAAGAAGGGGAGGAGGAGGAGGAGGAAGAGCAGGATGACGAACGACGGGAAGGCGGAAGGGGATGGAGGAAGAAGCGGGGGAGGAGGAGGAACATGGCAATCACATGGAGGAGGGGGAGATGGGGGAGGAGAACAAGGGAGGAGGAATGGGAGAGAAATCGGCACCTGAGGAGAGACAAAGGACACGGACGAGGACGAGGACGAGGAGGACGAGGACGAGGACGAGGACGAGGCGGTCGAGGGAGGAGGAGGACGAGGAGGAGGAGGAGGAGAAAGAGGAGGAGGAGGAACAGGAGGAGGATGAGGAGCAGGAGGAGGGAGAGGAGGATGAAGAAGGGGGCGGCGGGGAGGGGGGGGGAGGGGGAAAAAGGAGGAGGACGAGGAGGAGGAGGACGAGGACGAGAAGGATGAGGATGATAAGGGGGATGAGGAGGAGGAGGGGAGGGGGAGGGGGAGGGGGGGGGAGGAGGAGGAGGAGGATGAGGAGAGGAGGAGGAGGATGAGGACGAGGAGGAGGACATGGAGGGGGACGAGGAGGGAGAGGAACATACTTAGGAAGAGGAGGAGGAGGAGGAGGAGGAGGAAACGGAGGAAGATCAGGAGGAGGATGGTATGGAGTAGGGTGAGGGCGAGGAGGGCGAGAAGGACGAGAAGGACGAGAAGAAGGACACGGAGCAGAAGGAAGAGAAGGAGGAGAAGGATTGAAGGAGGGGGAAGAGGAGGAGGAAGAGGAGGAGGAGGATGAGGAGGAGGAGGAGAAGGAGGAGGAGGAGGTGTCCATCCAGAAACGACGTCCAGGCGAGTTGAGAGGTGTTCAGGGAAGTGCGGGAGCAAAGAGGGGGACGGCCGAACCGTGTGAAGGAGAGAGGGGGCGAATGAGAAAATTGGATGGATGGGTGAGGGAGTAGGGAGAAGGATGATGAAGATGAGGAGGAGGAGGAGGCGGAGGGGGGGATGAGGATGAAAAGGATTAGGATGAGGAAGGAAGAGGAGGAGAGCAAGCAAACGGGCCAGCGGTCTCTTGGATGCTTCTCGGAGCCTCTTGGGATATCTCTTTGGCGTCTTGGGACGTCTTGGGGTCTCTTGGCGGTCGTGGGGGGCTCTTCGGCGTCTTGGGTGCCTCGGGGGGGCCTCTTTGGGCCGCTTGGGGTCTTTTTGGGGGCCTCCTGGGGGCCTCTTGGGGGCCTCTTGAGGCCATCTTGGGGCCATCTTGGTACCTTTTGGGGCCTCCTGGGCGCTTCTTGGGGCCATCTTGGAGGAGATCGATCAAACAAAGGGGGGCTTTAATTGGCGTCCCCCCCCCCCACAAATGCCAAAATGGGCCACAACCCTAGTAAGACCAATGCTTTTGGCTTCCTCGCCCAGGCCGTTTTGGACGCTCCGACACTTCGCGGAACCCCTTGTCCAGGTCCAGGGGAGGGGATAGGGGGAGGGGTAAACCCTTCCCCGAAGGGGAAGGAGGGGTGGAAGAGGAAACTCCCTAATCTACCGACGCCCAGAGGGCTGGTGGGATTATTCAAGTAACGAGCCTTTCTAACACCTTCCGCAGATAGGTTTTGTTGTTGAATGTGTTTGGCGTTTTTTTTGCTCTTCCCCCCCCTCTCTCTCTCTCTCCTACTCTCTCTAGGTTGTCCAAGGGTTGACTTGATGTTTGCTGGAAGGTTCGTGACTGGTGTTGGGGCGGTTGTTTTCCCTTGGAAGGTTCTCGTTCAAATGCTTCTGAAATGTGTTTGTGTTTTTTTTGGGGGGTGACAGCTTGTTGGAAGGTTTTTGGTCGGTTTCTGGAATGGAGTGGGCGGTCTCGCTAGATGCTGGAAGGTTTGGGAAAGATGTACGTAGAAGGTTGCCAGATGGTTTTGATTCCCCCCCAGGGTTGTTGTAAGTTTGTGTTTTGTTTTGTTTTTTTGTGTTACTTCTTCGTATATTTTCTCTCTTTTCCTCTCTCTTTCCCTCTCTCTCTCTCTCTCCTTTTTTTTTGTTTTCTCTCTCTCTCTCTTTGTTTATATTATTATATCTTTTCTCCGTCGCTCGTTGTTGCCAGGTTGGTGGGCCTTTTTTTCTCTTGTATCCTGTTGTTGTATGGAACAATCGGTATATGTGTTTGTTATTCTTACACGCATACATATATATATATATATATATATATATATATATAAAAGGTTTCCCGGAAGGTTTTGAACAGCTGTTTGGAAGGTTTCGCATATTTCTTTTTCTCCGGTGGGGAGACAAACGATTTGTGCCACGTTTTTGGAAGTTTGTTTTTTCCATTTCTTCTTCTTCCTCCCCTGATTTGTTGGGCGATCTCGTAAAATATTGGAATGTGTTCGAAATGTTTTTGGACGACGGTTGTTAGGTTGTTGGAGTAATTCTAATGACGAGCCTTTCGAACCTTTCGCAGGAAGGTTTGTCTTTGGTTGTTTAGTGTGGTATATTGATGAGAAACAAGTTTATGGAATGTTGTCAGTGTTTTTTTGTTGTTGTTTCTTTCCCCCCCGAAGGTTTTTGTCGAACTGTCTTTGGAGGGTGTTTGTGTGGTTTTTGTTTGAAAGGTTGTTGAAAGGTTTTTGGTCGGTTTTTGGAATGGATTGGGCGATCTCGGTAAATGCTGGAAGGCTTGAGCAAGATGTAGAAGGTTGTCGGA